AACATTAGCAGCAGAAGCGCATCTAGAAGAGGGGCAATTTTTACTAACAGAACAGACATTGAACATAGGAAAGTCTCGGATAAATAATAATAATAATAATTCATGTGCTATGAAGACCACTGGGGTAGAGAAATGTGAACGCGTGCTCGGAATTGAACCACTGCCTCCTGACACTACTGATACCATTCCGGCCCTTACAGATGGCACGACTGTTGAATTGTCTTGTTTTCATAGTTTGCGACTCGGGAACATTCACGAGAAGTTTGGTGTTAAAGCTTACATGCTGACCATCTGTCCGCAAGGACTACCGTGACGCATAGTGCGCGTAAGTATGAGCACATTGACTGTCTGCTGGTGCGGAGCGCGGATAGCGCTAGAAGCTGGGAATATAAACTCACATTCCTGGAAACAGTCACTGCCACGTAATGCAATGTCTAGAAACTGAGAAAGGTAATTGAAACATTAGTCACGATTGTAGCTCGTGAAGAACAAGCTATCTAACAGTAATTAGAACAATGAATGTGTTCTAGGGGTGTCCAATGGAGCCATGTCACAGTGTAATTCGAATGCTGCAAGAATGTGAGCCACACTAAGGATAGCTACATCTTTTCAAAGAAACAGGCCCAATTTAGATTAACATGTCTCCCCACGAAATATTTTGATAATAAAACTGACAATTATATCTTGATATGTGAAGTTTATGAGTTAATATATTGTAAATACATCTATGATCTTGCTTAAATCTAGAAATAATCATCCTTCGGAACCTGAAAATACATAGGTCTATTCTGCAGGAAATAAACCGATGTCTAGGGTGTATAAAGGTAAAGCTATCCCTGTAACAGGCCATGGAGGCCCATAGGGCTGTGAACGTCGAGGTTCCCATATTTTCTAGACAATCGGCTCACAGATGGCGCCGAGGCTCTCAGCCTTACGTGCCGGATTCCTGGCATTCATTTGTGTTAGACGCTGAGTCGACCCCAGGGCCATAGTGTAACTGGAAGGATTAAGCCAACTGAAAAATCCATTTACCTCATCGTGACTCGAACCCGCGACCTTCCGGCTTGTAGTATAATGTCTTAACCAACTATTCTACCGCGTGCCCCCGTCTTGTGTGTTACATCGCTGAATAAAACGTGGAAAATGTGGTCCGACGGAATGCATACTTTTTCCGAACACTTCCGGTTATAAATTTCTGTATGACCGTATCCATAGCGTGCTGCACTCTTGTGGTAGAAGTGAGTGCTGAAAACTCTTAACGTACTTCAACTAACAAATGTAACGTGTAACTTGCTCTTCGAAGGTTCAGCCGCGTGACATACAAGATCTGTTACTGGCATAATTGATCAAAAATAGATGCACAACTCTCTGATTCCATTGCAAGCTTCCACTTCGTATCTAGAAACAGATAGAACATTAGGGGGCGATGACTTAACATCATACTCTTAAGGTACACGTCCCTAGAAATAATTTGCTTAAATTAGCTCTAAGTCTGATTTACTTGCTTAAATTGCGTTAAACTTACTTGCACTTTCTCGTCTTCTACAATTTTCATCCCTCTTGCTGTATCCTATCATTTATACTGTAGCGTGTACAGCCGTTGCTATGCAATGACGGCGACATAGGCGAATAAACAACGGCCGTTTCTAGGCAACGGATCGAAAAACACGTTACCGCGACAACGAAAACACAAGCAACAATAGTTACTGTTGGAAACGGTGTTTTCTATTCGGGCCGTGCAAGGGTTTATAAAGAAAACATTTGGGGAGGCGGGGTCGAATACCTCCACCGTGACCCTGCGAGTGGTAGGCGGCGACGAAAAGGGAGGTCTCAAATCTGAGACAGCAAAATATGGTCGCGATTTCCAAGCGACTCGGACCTGAGAAAGACTGCGCTGGCAAGGACCAGCAGCATATACAAAAGACAGACCAGTCCTATCGTGAGAGAGGGCGCCCCACAAAAACAAGACCGTAACTGTCAAACAGGAATATCTGGTCATGAGCTCCAGATGGAGCTCGACACCAAGACTTACTGACTGACTGACAGACTGACTGTTAGTCGCAATTTGACTTGGACTTGACGCAGTTGATTGAGAAGTGAGTTCTGCAAGGGAGGATGAGAAAAGATGGCGCTATAGTTCAGTTGACAGTTCAGTTGTGCCATATTCGCCGGACAGTAACGACGTGAGTACAGAAGCTGAAGAATCTTCATTGCTGAGATCTCTTACCAGGCATCGACTTGTGAAGACACTGCAAATTGGAAAAGACTTAAAGTGTAGTGAACGGTAAAGTATGGACACAAGTGATAGTGTTATAGTAATTGCGATATGAAAGTGGTCAGCAAAATCATTCACCAACTCAAACCCCGTCTATAGTCACAACAATATTTAATCTTACATAGATAATTTCTAATATCCCTAAAATAACTTGTTAGCACTGTTCATTGATTTCATGCCCTAATTTCCCATTAATATCCCACAATTTCGTACACAATAATTCTTTCTCCATTTTCTCTTTTCAGCACACTCTAATAAAACACGACCCTGATACAAGGGCTACTCCTTTGCTTCCTGTAATTTGCAAAAAAAAAAAAATCGTTTTTGTTTCGTCTCTTTTTTATTTCTCTCTCTCTTTTTTTTTTAATTGCTAGTGGGGTGTGGGACTAAGTCCCTTGTACTGCGGCCACTTCTGGCCTATTGTACCAGCCCCAGATGATAGGTGAGGGTGATTGTGGAGCAATTGGTGGAATGAAGATTGGCAGGGGAAACCGAAGTACTCGGAGAAACCCTGCCCCACCGCCCCTTTTTCCACCACAAATCCCACTTGAACATACCGAGGATCGAAGCCGGGCCGCCGTGGTGAGAAGCCAGCGACTAACCGCTTGAGCTATGGCGCGGCTCCTTTTATTCATCTTACTTATTAGCCGTTTCAAATTCAACTTGATTTAAAAATCTTTAAAAGTTTTAAACGTTAAAATCTCTTCTGAATCACTGGTGTATGCACACAACATGTCTCGACCAACCTTCGTCATCTTCACGTGACTCTAAAATTGCTAATTAAACTACTGTGCTACCGTCTGTTAAGTTCAGTTTTCGAGATATTCCCTCGTCTATACGCCCATGTGGCCTGTAGTGATGGGTATTTCCTACTGTTGTGTCGTGTGTAGCTGTTACGAATATTTTTATTCAAGCTCTGTGCTCTTACCGATCCCCAATGAGGTCATTGGATTTCTTTTTTCATTTTACCTATTCCTTTCAGCCCCACCATGGTCCTGGGGTCGACTCAGCCTCTAACAGAAATAAGTACCAGGAATCTTTCTGGGGGGTAAAGGGCAGCCGGTGAGTAAGCACGGCCTGTTACACGGATAGCTTCACCTTTACCTTACTATTAAGGAAGAAATGCCTAGTCACAACAGTTTTGAGGGTTTAAATTCATTTCTGTTTTTGGAGGGTACATTTTCAGTTTATTTAACGACTAACGAATGTGAACACCATTGGAGACTGTGTATGGAAGTAGTTTACTAAGTGGATAATTATTGATTTGTAATGTCTGCTAGTCTCTGTAAGATGATCTACATGTTTAAAGACAGAATGGAAAGGTGCACGGGAGCCGGAATAGCTCAGTTCCGTGTAGCGACTGGGATATGGGCTGGACGGCCGATGATTCGGAATTCGTTTCCCGCCTGAAGCAGGATCTTGTTCAGACCGGCTCTGGGGTCCACACAGCCTCCTATACAATGTACACTGGGGATTGTTTCTCCGGGGGTAAAGCGGCAGGGGCGTGAAGCTGACCACTGACTGCAATCTAGTGCCAATCATAAGAAGCGTAATAAGAACTATGAAATAGTTTCTGACATTACATTTTCAGACAAGAAGACGGACTCGACCTTAACCATCACGCGTTCATTTTATGGAATCATACATTCTACACTGTAGAAAGAACCAGTGGGAACATTTACGCGTAAAATTTTCAATGAAAAAATACAGAACAAACACCAGTATTTAACTAATTTTCGCCATATTCATGACTAACCTTGTTCTGGAACGACTGGCCAATTTGTTGCGATAAAGCCTAATATGTCATCTCTGGATGATTCAGCACTGGCCACTGAGAATTGCGCAGGCGTGTGAAGGCCGTCAGTGTTCTGTTTGCTCCGTTTTTTTTAATGTTTTTACTACACAGAACGTAAGAAAGAACCCCTGTTCATCCCCATGTTAAGACACGGAAAGTAAAGGTAAAAAGATGAAGTTATCCCTGTGCTTAATTAATTAAGCACTACGCCGCGAAGGTCTATGTTGTAGTGGATGTATAGACACAAATTTTCTTGACCTCGACACAAACCGGAGGTGAGTGGTCAGCTTCAAGCCCCTGTAGCTTTACCCTCAGGGGAAAGCCCCCCCCCCCCGCTACCCATTGGATAGGAGGTTGGGTGGGCCTGAGAGCAGTTCTGGATTACGTGTAGAGGAGAAATTTTTTGACCCTACAGGGACTCGAACTCCGCTCCTTCGGTCGTCCAGCCCGTAGCCAGTCGCTATATCAACTAAGCTATCCCGGCTCCTAACATTCCGAGAGTACTGATGAAAATCATGAGGAAGAGACTACAGTACAAGCTGTCGGTAGAAACAAACTTCATTCCTTACTGGTCTGTTATAAATAACCATTACTCTAGTATATGGGGTCTATATCTAACATTTATAACTTTTCTTAGAGTACATCTCACCTCACTATTGTCCGTGTGACTTGAGCATACAGATCCCATTTAAGAACTCCAAAATTTGTTGATAACTTTTCTATTTTGCGGAGGCCTATGTAAGTAAAGCTATCCCTGTGACAGGCCGTGAAGGCCCATAGGGTTGTGAGACGTCAAGGCTCCCATATTCTCTCTAGACAATCGGCTCACAGATGGCGATAAGGTTGTCAGCCTTACGCACCGGCCGCCCTTTATCCCCCATGAAGATTCCTGGTACTCATTTCTGTTAGACGCTAAGTGACCCCAGGGCCATAATGCGGCTGAAGGATTAGGTAAATTAAAAAGAATCCACCTCATCGGAACTCGAACCCGCGACCTTCCGGCATAATGCTTCTATGTAAGTAAAAGCGAAGAGAAAGTTGGTTCAACCTGTAAAGCTCCTGAATTGTTTTCTATATGTGCGTGGTTCGAATCTCGGAAGGGACACCATCTATCCTGATTGATGTTTCTCATGATGTTCCTCAATTCATCCACTTAAATTCCTTGTAGTGCATAATAAATAGTACATAGTAACCTCCGCCTAATTCATTCCATGTCGTTTTCAACTCATTATTCCCTAATCGTCCTTCCATTCTGCGTTATACAGTTCAAGGCACATACAGTGTTGATAATGAAGCACAGAATTAATGAACTATACTCCATCCACTACGAGAATGACGGTGCGTCATCTTCTGAGTGATCCTGACTATTACATCGACATTATAGAGTTACAAGTTTCTATTTTCCACATACTTCCAGTGCTAACAGACCAGTGGGAAATTCAAACATATATAAAAAGGTGTAAGATTTGAGGTTTTCACGGCAGTGATTTTGAAAAAAAAAGTCTTCTGGGATGTGGCGCCGTGTAGATATTGTGCTAACCGACGTTTCGGAGGAATGTATCGCCTCTCAATATCTACACGGCGCCACATCCCAGAANGATGATTGTGGAGCAATTGGTGGAATGAAGAGAGGCAGGGGAAACCGAAATACTATTAGATAACCTGCCCCAGTGCGACTTTATCCACCACAAATCTCACATGACCTGACCCTATCTCGAACCCGCGCCTCCGCTGTTGGAAACCATCGACTAACTGCCTGAGCTATGGCACAGCTTAGATGGACATTATAAATAAACATTATTTGTAATTTTCAATGTGATAGGCTTTTTGTAGTGTTATTAGATTCGCAACATACATTTTATCTGCAATAACTGGACACCGAGATCAATCTCTTGCGTAAAATAGGGAAAAAAAGAAATGTTTGGAAGTACGTGTACTCCATTGGAGACCTCCGATCCATTCTTGTTAGGACAATTTTTGTCCTACTTATCTTTTATCCTACTCAAATATTGGAAACGGCGACCAGCAGGACAAAACTAATTGTTCGAAACGGCACTTGCCTGGGCTGTAGACGCAGTAGAGATTGTGGGGCCGTAATTAATATAAATGAGTATTAAACGAGCAAGTTGGTGTAGTAGAGTGTAAAAGGTTCTGACGATGGCGTATAACACTCAGAATTACCGGGATTTTAGACTCTGTCCATCGTCCGGTATCCTAGAAGCTAGAAAACACACCGTTTCGGAAACTGGATCTGTTTCCATCCTCAGGTCATGGGTGGAAAGACACCTACTCGGTCCGTTCCCTTAGGAACCTCACTGGAGTGTATAAGGTTAGCTCGTTCTAAAGGACACAACTGAGTAGGTGTCTTCCCAAAACTCACGTGAGGACGGAAACAGATCCAGTTTCCGTAAAGGCGTGTTTTCCAGTTTCTAGAATACCGGACGATGGACAGAGTCCAAATAAGAACAGTAATTCTGAAGCTGGTGAAGCTTTAACGCTCCTTTTTTTTCAGAATGTAGACCTATTTGTTTCGACAGCCGGAAGCTTTACTTTTATGATTTTTCTCAGTCTTTCCGGACGAACAAGGCGGCAATGCCTCCACGAGGACTACCATCGCGTCCATTCGGATCCTGTCCAATTAACAGCTTGGAAGCTTCCTGCCATTCGGTGCTATAGGACCCTCTCGTATGAAGTTGAGAAAGGTCGGTAAATAAAAAAGAGCTGAGTAATTGCCCCTATGAGATGTGAATGGTAATATGTTACAGACGCATTTACCAGCAGTTTAAACAAAACTCTGTGAGTGGTGCAGCATTTCTTACTTTTGCATCAATAGTATTAATGCATTTCTTGCTTCTAGTTCGAAATTCGAATACCGCCTCTGTGGTCTAGTGGTCAGAGTTCTTGACTACAAATCCTGAGGTCCTGGTTCGATTCCCGGCGCTACCAGATTTTCCGAGAAGTAGTTGCTCTGGAACGGGGTCCACTCAGCCTCGTGTGGATAACTGAGGACCTATTTCAAGGAAATTTCGGCTGCGGTCTAGAAAACCGAGATTAATGGCCGTGGAGATTCATCGCGCTGACCACGCGACACACCCTATCCGCTAAAGTTGGCACTAACTTCGATGACAAGCGGCGATCGCTCGGTCGGTATAGTTCGCTTGCAGACCAAAACCACGGAGTTTCTTTATATATAGTTTGCTTCAAGAGCCAGAAT